TTTTTTTTTTTTTTTTTTTTTTTTTTGGGAAAAGTAAGGAATCCATTATCATAAACATGAGGCCGAATTCCTCACAAACAACCCGGAAATGAACCAACGTCTCTGGGACCAGCACGATAGTCGTTGGAGTCGAGTGCGTTTTTTACCAACAAGCGTGCAGAAAATGCCAGAAAATTATTTGTTTCTTCCTCATCCATTAACCTCCTTACCAACTTGCTTGCATTGCAATCTCACACAGCCGTTCAAAATTCAAATTGAAAGAACTTCGAAAATCGAAAAGAACGGAAATTGGTCTGCAAAGCCCCCCAAGGCATTCTGATCATTTTGGCCAAGCTGGTCATGCTTCAACACCAAATAATATCGGACCTGCTGGACGACTGGGCTAGTAATATTAGACTTACCTCTAGAATAGGACCTCGATCCCCTCCAAGGAGATGAATTTCATCAAGCACGACCAGTCCAACCTGCTCATGCACACATCGCACCAACACCACGAGAGGAAGATATGAAAATCTCTTTAATCTCATGAACGATGCTGAACCGCACAAGATTAGGTCGAACCTTTCTTCCCTTGAAAGTTCGAGTCCATGGCATCTACCTTTGATCTTAGCCTTTCTTTCCTCCTAAGAATCGAAAGTTCAGGTCCATGGGTTTTATACCTTCCATTTTATAGCCTTTCTTTCCGCAACCTGAGGCAATTCATAAACACACAGCAACAGGAAAAGAGAGCTCAAGCACGCAGAGAAACAAGTGCACCTACTTCTTACCATTTTGACGTATCCACGATTCTGCCAGTTACGGCTGATGCCGTCCCACTTTTCTGGAGTCGAAATGATAATATCCGCTGAGAGCAAAGCCTTCAAGTCGGGAGTGAAGTCCCCTGTCAGTTCCACCTAGATCAGGAAACACGCAAAAGCGTTCAGGACTTCCGAGTTGTAAAATTGGTAAAGAGTCCCAATGACCAAACTTCGTACCTAGGCTACCAGAGTGGCGTGGGACAGCTTTTGCCCGGCTGGGTGAAAAAAGGCAAAAAGAAAAGAAAAGAAAAAAGGTTTGAAAAACACATTTTTAAATGTAAAATTTTAATTTTTATTATTATTTTTTTTTCAATTTTTTGTTTCAATTTGGTAAAAGAATATTTCCGTGTGACCCTCCAACTAAAGTTTTTCAGTTTATTATCCTGCATAACATCGTCGGTTCTGCATCTGGTCGTACTACTTTGATCAAAGGATGGATCAAGAAGGTGGCGATTAACAAAAAGCTTACCATGCGTTTACCAAGCTTGGGTACCAAATTCTTCTTCCAATCCTGAATTCTTTCTCTAACAAGTGCCTTCAGGGGAGCTATGTAAATCACCTGTCACAATGCCACCACAGAAAGCTCAAGAGTCAAAACACTTAGCTTATAAGAGACTTTCAGCTGTGCACAGTTTCCTCGCCCTGTCGGCATCCTGCTGCAATCAGCCACAATAAAGATGACTGGAGACAATTACAAAGGCACCGACGACAACAATGATAAACATAGCAACAATAAAGATGATTGGAGACAATTACAAAGGCACCAACGACAACAATGCTGACAAGGTGATGGCGACTACAGGAGTAGCTAGGGCAGCAATCAAGATAAGAGCAGGGAGGGGGAGGGGGAGGGGGAGGGGGAGGACAAGAAGAAGAAGAAGACATAGCCACAGCGCGGCTAAAAACACGACAATAGTGATGATGACAACATGTATTCATGCACATGCATACCTTGGAGTTTCGTTGCGTATTAAACACCCAGAGCACTGCCAGCTGAGCGGAAATCGTCTTCCCGAAGCAACAACGACAACAATAATGACAAGGTGATGGCGATGTATGTGAGTAGCTAGGGCAGCAATCAAGATAAGAGCAGGGAGGGGGGAGGGGGGAGGGGGAGGGGGAGGGGGAGGGGGAGGACAAGATGAAGAAGACAGCATAGCCACATCAGTGCCAAAAAAAAGCGACAAAAGTGATGATGACAACATGTATTGATGGACATGTATACCTTGGAGTCTGGTTGCGTATTAAACACCCGTAGCATCGCAAGCTCAGCGGATATGGTCTTGCCGGATCCCGTTGGGGCTCCTAGCAACAAATTGTGATCCGTATGGTAAAGCACATGGAAAGCCTGCATACAAGTTTAAAAGTTAGCACGTGGAAAATGACCGCACAAGAACGGAAAACAAAGCCAAGGATATGGAGTATTATGGACTTCGCAACTTTGCAAGTTTGCGCACATTTCCAGTCCTGAGGGGATGAGCACTTCCTACTGTCTTCACCCGAACAGAACGCCCGGTCATTATAGCTGCATTTGGCACAACTTTCAGTCCGGATGCAGCTATAATTACCGGGCATTTTATTCGGGTAAAGACGGTAGCAACCAGGGGTCATCAAAATGGCCAAGGACGGTCTCATCACGCCGATGCATGAGACGTACCTGCGTCTGTATCGGATTGAAGTGAGTGAATTTATACAGGCTCTCGTAAACAGGGTTCTTCAGCGCAGAGATTGGCAGCGGGCGCAGGTCCAACAGCTCCGTATGTGGAGGGTGCCTCTGCATTCAAAACGATAATTAGACCGTTAAAGTCAGATGACTGACGAACCAGCTTCCACCAGTTTTGGCACATGACAAACTTTTGTACTGTTAGAACTTAGAAAGTTATAGAAACAGCCTCAAAACAGGGGGTGGGCGGGGGGAAAAGGAACATGATGAGGGCAGGCAGGAGGAGGTACGGTCACTTGCGCGCTTGCCTGTGCTAGAATATGTTACGATGAACTTGGCTCTCGTTGAACCTATTGAAATGGGTAACCTTGACTTCACACAATGACCCCATCTTGGCACTGGATAGGGAATATGTAAACTACTAAACTGTTACTTATGTGCCAGCATGTGCTGGGAAATGCTAGAATGAGCTAGAGTGCGGTAAAACTTCTAGAAATGGGTACCTTGGGTGTACTGCATAGGGAGTTGGATTACGTAACTGGCTGTGTGCTAGATGGTCTTTTTTTCCCCAAAGAGTAATTGTTACTCCAGTACTTCTATGCTTGAGCGCGATTTCAATATTTCGAATTTACTACTTACGCCAATTTTACGCCATTTAGTATCGGCTGCAATACCAACGGACCAGAGCTCATTTGGTACACCCACGAACTGCTGAAATACTGACCAGAGTTCGAATCCCGATGGAATCCGATGAGCAGCCTGAGATAACTCTGAATTACATAGGGCCGGTCCATTCAACGATGACATCTCAAGGCCGTCGCCCTTTTTTTTTTGAAAAAAGCATCAGCTGCAATGCTGCCGTGAGGAGACGGTTTCAAATTTTCAGGCTTTCCTTAACCTATTCAATGTTTGCTAAAAACTGATGGAGGCTTCTGTGTAGCACTGCAGCAGCTATTCGTGAGCATATACCATATTTCATAAGCAGACGAGAGTGTGTTGACTTGTCAAGATACAGACAGTGACGGATTCATGCCCAGAGTGAACCATCGGCAGTGCAAAATCCAAACATCATCAACCTAATGGAGAGACATGACGTAACACAACTGAATACCTAAATCAAGAGGAGGAAGAGGATGAAGAAGAGGAGGAGGAGGCAAAGGAGGAAGAAAAGGAATTGGACGAGAAGAAAGAGATGGAGGAAGAACAGGAAGAGAAGCAGGAGGAAGAGCAGGACGAAGAAGGCGACACAATGAAGGAGAGGAGGAGGAGTCGAGACGAAGACGAAGACGAAGACAAAGACGAAGACGAAGACGAAGACAAAGACGAAGGCGAAGACGAAGACGAAGAAGAAGAAGAAGAAGAAGAAGAAGAAGAAGAAGAGGAGGAGGAGGAGGAGGGGGAGGAGGGGGAGGTGCAGGAGGAGGGAGGAGGTGCAGGAGGGAGGAGGGAGGAGGCGGAGGAAGAAGGAGAAGAAGAAGAAGACGTTCACGTTTGAATTTGTGTAGACACAGGAACAAATAGAATCACAATGGACTGGACAGAGTACCAGGAACTGACCTCGGGAAGAATCAGGTGTTGAAAGGACACAGTGTGCAATGTCTCTGCCCCCAACCAGGAGTCTGCGATTGCACGGATATAGTACTGCGGTGGAAGGGGCTCAAAGATCGGAATCGTGAACCCCAGAGTATATGAACCCTCCATGAACATCTTCTTGGTTAGCCGGAAGTACTCATTGTGATAAATGTGCTCGTTTGCCGAGTCCTGAAACATTCGAACGCAAACAGCCATTACCAAGTGAGCAAAGAAGCAAACGAAACGCACACAGGTACACACCTGTCTCTTATACACATCTAGATGTGTATAAGAGACAGGCGCGCACGATGCGCGCGCATGCCATGGGGCGCACAGGCAAATCGAGGGGTCCAAAAAAAAAAAAACGAAAGTTGGGGGCGGGGGGGGGGGGGGGGNGAGAGAGAGAGAGAGAGAGAGAGAGAGAGAGAGAGAGAGAGAGAGAGAGAGAGAGAGAGAGAGAGAGAGAGAGAGAGAGAGAGAGAGATTCTCAATAAGCAGTACACATTTGATAGACTTGCTAAGATCTCAGTGCCATACTCACCTCCACCCATATCCACCATCCTACAGATTTTCCATGGATCTTATCTTTCCAAACGAACTCTGGTGTTATCGTCAGAGAGACCTGAGGAACAATACACAAGGGGAGCAATACATGTCAGAGCAATTCAATAGGGTAAGGCAGCAAATCACATCCATGGCTAGACGAGAGTAGATAGAACATGGAGTACAAAAAGCGCAAAGCTCAGCTGGACTCTACTCTCCTTTTTGTGCACCTGCTCACGCTCCTTCACAAACACAAACCTTCCCCACTGTCCACACTTCCCTGTGAATAACAAGGCGACACAAGAGCGATCCAGAGAATTGCAGAGTCTATCTTTCACAGAGCTCGCAATACAGAAACACAAGTATGAAGATGGTGGAGGGAAGAAAGCAGCAGCACACAGGACAAGGAACAGAGAGAAGCGAGCCTTTAGGAGACGGCAACAGGTTCTGCACCTTGCCAGCCACCAACTCTGAACGCAGCTGCACACACACACACACGGATGTGAATGCCTTCCATGCATGAAAGCACACATACACACACTCTCCAGCAGCCCTCTGTCCTTGTAGCGACAACCAGCTTTGCAAGAAGCCAAGGGTGGGGCTGACTGGAATGAGGGACCACACAGACACACACACACTATCAAACAAACAAACAACACAGCATAACCAACCTTCCAACCACCAAACAGACACCTTTTTTTTTTTTTTTTTTAAACAAGTGGACCCAGCGGGGTGAAGCCGCGCTCCAGTCCCGTCTATACACGGCAGGAAGCGTGGCAATGTCAGTCTGTGTGTGTGTGTGTGTAGGATGGGCAAAATCGGAACGAATAGTCAGCCAGAACATGGAAATATACACTGCCAAACCTTTTTTTTTTTTTTTCATGTGTGCATCAACCGAGCAGCCTGGCAATGTGCAAAATGAGAAGGAATCTTCCACAAGAACATAGGAAGATACACCGCGATGCACAGATATATTGAAAAGAAATCCCGGTGTGAGTATGGACTAAGGAGCTGTCAGATGCAAATGTCGCCGCGTGTGCGCGCGCGCGCG